GGACTCGGTTATTGTTCGTACGTACTGTTGTATGTGCTCGCCAGCAAAAGAGAAAGTAAAAGCCAAGCCCAGATTCACTCTTGTTGGGCATTTTGCCTCACTATATTTGTGTTTATCTGCGCTTAATCTCTTGGATGCATCCTGCTGACTGTCCCCAGTTAACCTAACCTGCATGTGGGAGGAATCCGGAGTACCCTGACACAGGGAAAATATCGAGCTCCACACAGAAGGGCTCTACCACCCAGGGTTCAAATCGGGAACCATTTGCTAACCACTGCACGCCGCTGAGTTAATACAGTACATTTGCTTTTGAGAAAATCCTGCATAGTATACCTTTAAGAAAAAAATCATCCTGTGGTTTATAGCAAACTGAGATTGGGTTGTACCTGATATGTATCGCCTTTTCCATGATACATAAATGCAATGAATACTTCCTGGTAAGCTAAAGTAGGAACATGGTGAGTGACAAACCTCAGCTGTTGTTTTCTTGTCAGTCACCAGGGAGGATCTGCAGTTACGTCCTCTCTACCTCGTGTTTTGAGTAGGAATTTACTGGCCTGAAGCCTACATGGCTCCATCAGTCAGTATTGTTTTTGATATGTTAAAATGAACAAGACGCTTTCTGTAGCACTCAACATAAATACATTCTGTTTCCAAATCACATATTCAACACAGCCTTCGGGTCAGATGTATTAATAATGCCTGTGCACAAAAATCATTTGTGTGTCACGTCCCAAACATATTTATAGTCAAGACCGTAAGCTGAGGTGTACATACATGTGTATTGGTGTATATATATGTATATGCAGCATAGGCATGGTTTTCTTAAAGAACTATTAAGAAGAAAGGAAAGATAAGCTGAGAGACAGAATCTAATCATATGTCCAGTTTCACAAAGTGTGAATAACTTGTGCAGTCTGAACACCTGCTGTATCTTTACTATATATGCAATCAAAGGCACATTTATTCATCAGGGTTCCCACAGTCATGGAAAACCTTGAAATTTCATGGAATTTCACAATCGTATTTTCCAGGCCTGGAAGAAGTCCATTTAAAGTTTTGAAAAAGTCACGGAATTTTTATGTGTATTGAAATTGTTTCAGTTATCTACCATGGAGTACCTTTCATATATTGTTACTAGGCCTGCCCCGGACTTAGAATTTTCCTCGTCGACCAATAGTCATCATTTAGGGCCATTAGTCGACTAGTCGCCTGCATGTTTACAATATTAATGTAATGATTAAATGATATATTTTGGTGGTTTGAGTTGAAGGTGTGAGAAAGAATAGTATCAGTAACATTGTTAACACTGTGCTACATTACAGAGAAATACAAAAGTGTACTAATGAACCTTCATTAATATAGGCCTATATTTTATCTACAAGTGCACGTCACACACTGAGCGAGCCGCCTGTTAATGACGCTGTGAGCTAATGGGCATGTAGCTACTTCCATGTTTCAGATGATACGTCATGTTTGTAGTCGACCAATGAAGATGAGTTTACATATCACCTTGGGTTCGTCCTTCACCTTCTCAAAATGATCCCACACTTTGGATTTCCTGCCCGACATGTTATTAACTAGCCTGTGGAATAACCGCAGGTACCAGCCCTGGAAATTAGGGGCTGCACATATCTTGTGTCTTTAACCGCCTGGAAAACATGAGGTCGGGTACTCTTGTGCCTTTTTTGTGCCAGCTTTTAAGAGCGTGGCTCCAGGTTTTTCTCAGTTTATTTTCTGTAGCTGTTGAGGTCATGTTGCTCTAATGTGTGTCTATTTAACAGTTTTATTAACTGTCACGTACATTTCTTCATTTTCTCCCCACGTCACGTCTCCCTAGCTGAAACTATCTTTGTTTAGAGTTTGAATCGGATATGTTTCAAGAACGCCAAGTAAGTTTGTCAAAAAAATATTATGGGTCCTTGAAAAGGAAAAAAAAGTAATGGAAAACTTTTGAAATTGTGTTTGTGAAATTGTGGGAACCCTGATTCAGTGTGCTGCAAGTTGCCCCTGTTGTATATTGTTGAACAACTTTTTAAAAACCCAACTGATTTTTGGTTATTTTGCTGCTCTTTTCATCACCATGTCTTCAGACTGATGGAGAAAATGGAAGTGTATCTAACTGGGAGTTAAAGTCAGGCCTGTGAACCAGCGTATAATTTTACACTATCTCTGAGTGCAGATGTCTGCATTTGTATGAACACAGTTTCTCCATCACAGAATGTTTATGCATCTGACCCCAGATATCCTGAAATGTAGTCTGGGTTTACAATGTGTTAATAAATTGTGAAGATTTCCCTCCATTTCTTGTTATTGAGACTTAAATTTAAAAAACATATTTTTTGTATGCTGCCATGTTTTTACTACCACAATATGTTTATTAAGTATTTTGAGACACATCTATGGGTCATTTAATAAAACACATGCAATAGCTCTGAAGCCCCATATTCCACGTTTCTTTAAGGTTACATTTTTGAGCTCAGCAAAAATATCAAATCAAGAACATCCAGTGGTTAATGTGCTGATAAAAAGTCAGCTGTGTGTAACTCCATTATTCACCACTACAGAGTGCCTGTGGAGAGCTTGCATGGGTACACAAGAGACCAATGAACACTACATAACTGATGCAATTTCGGCATGTTAGTGATTTAGGGGAAGCAGAATGTTTAAAAAAAAATGTGGTGAGATCAGTGTATCCCAAAACACGGCATCCTGTCACATGTTGTTTTAGGAATTTAAAATCATCTATTGTATGATTTGTAATGACAAGCTTACACAAACTAAACTGAAAATACAAAATGCAATTTCATTTGTCAAGTCTGGTTACCTCTGGCATATCCTCCTGAGACCTGAACGTTTGTGTGGTATGCATTTTTAATTTCTCCTAGCTATTTGGGATCAGTAGGACCTGATGAGTTTAAAAAACTAAACATTGTCAAGGATAATAAAGTCCCAATGTCCTCAAATGAGTACTTCCTAATTAACAGCGTCTTAGCTTATTTCTGTTGCAAAAATTGATCAAATTTGTTGCCATATCAACCTATAAACATTATTAATCATAAATAAACAAGTTTCAACCCTAAAATGTGATCAGATTTAGAACCTTGTTCGTTTTTGTGTTAGGATTGGGTGCAGACTGACTTGGCAGAGACGGCTGCCATCTTGTTATTACATGGATTAGTGTATTGTACTCTTACTACGACTAGATGGCACAAACAAGTGTCCACGAACGAGGACAACAGGTCTAGGTTAAGTAGAATGAAGTATAAAGTGCAGGAAACCAAAAATGTGATGTCCACATATAAGGACACAGGATCTCAGGAGGTTATTTTTGACATCAGTTGGATATAAAAGAAATGTTTCAGTGGTTGTAAAGAGTGTTTGTGTTTCACAGACTGGTCTTTCCATTCTGTCATGTCACTTGTGTTTTTTAATTTTTGTTGTAATGCCTTTATGCAAAGTGTTCATCGGGTATTACATTTAGATGCACGACACTGAGCTTTCACTGATTGTTGCCTTTGGGAGAAAATTCTCATTTCATAGTCATGACATTACAGCTGTGCCACAGCAGTTCGTCAAAGACCAATTAATACTTTAGTTTTTTTTTTGTTTTAAAAAGATACCACTGATGATCCTACAACGTGCACCTTATCTCCTCTACAGCTCAAGAAGAATTGCATCAGGTCTCATCATGCCAAATAATGTTAAACTACTTTTCTTGCCATTTTTTGTTTTTGTGCCATTTTGTGCCCTGACTCTGAAGAGGAACAAGCAAAAATAGGATTTATTTTATTTTCTGTAGCATGTAATGTGTTAATATACCTAGTCAATAAAAATATACCAGATTGTCAGTTTTGGCTGTCTCTGTATTACTTACTTACTCCTCTTCATCCCCAATGGGACACAAGACTTTAATGAACTCTATTCTTTGCATGTGAACTCAAGTTCATTCGTCCCCTCAGTGTGGTTCGTTTGGGCAGGTGTGAACACAGCAATCACACTCAGGTGTGCACCAAAACAACTGGACTGACACCTTCTTGAAGAGGTGGTGTCAGTCCGGTTGCAAACAAATTCTGGTGTGGTTTGTTTGTGGTAAGAACGTGTTCTGACCTGGATCTGAACCAACTGCAGTCACATGACACACTGTTTGGGTTAAACATGAGCATGTTACAGTCCTGGAGGATTATTAATGTGCACCTCCTCCTGTACTGCCTTAATATGCACATTGAGCACATCCAATGCATCACAACATTGTTTTCTAGTTGGAGCCGCGCCTCGTTTTCAAACTGTATGGTTTGACTACAATGAACAATGACAGCAATATAGTCCACGATGAGCAGCACTAAAATCAACCTGTGTAGTTGTCCCTCCATTGTGACATTAGAAAGTGTCGCATTTATCTTGCCAGTGTACTCTTCTTCAACGTTTGGTTTACTTCCTGGATTTTTCCTACATGGAAATTCTGACCAATCAAGAGCAGCTTCCTCACACAAGGCATTTGATCTGGTCCCAGATTTCAAAATTCAATAATGTAAAATGTGAGGTTTTTAGAGTTAGTAAAAACATACCTTTCAAATCTGCGGGCAGGTTGCAGGGCTCAGATCATATTTAAAAAATTAACTAAGTAAAAAAGTTATATATCCCTCCATTTTGCCACAAAAAACAAATCCTAAGTGACAAGCCTCCCCCTTGTTGCACCACCCCTCCCCCTCGTAAGTAATGAACAGTCCCTTACTAGGTGCAGTTCAAAAATAGAGGAGCAGTGAAACTATGAGTCAATAATAAGTCAAAATGTCCAAATAAATGCTAATTTGTTATTTATATTTATGCCGAATTTAATAGTTGCTGCATTTTCATAAAACCAACAGAATCATATAAATGTTAACTTCATTTAAAGTCGCTTCACACCGGGTTTGCGGTTGTTTGAATGGAGTTTGAAGTAATCTGGGAGAGTGGTTTATTTCGGGACTTGGCATGAGGGTGTAGGCGTAGCTCAAGACGGCTGCGTGGGTTTCCCGGATGGAGTAGCGTCGCCATCTTTATGTCAGTGCTACCGGTGGGTCCTCAGTTCAGCGGAGCGACCGTGCTGTTGCTGATCCACCACCAGGCATCGCCGAGCAGCCGATAATCCTCCCTTTCCTCTGGGACGCCACGAGCAGCCCCAACACCCGAGCACCATGGCGGACAGAGAGAACTTAGTATACCAGGCAAAACTCGCCGAGCAAGCGGAGAGATACGACGGTAAGACGCCGCATAAATAACGGTCTTTGCACAGCGCTTGGCCCCTCTTCCCCCTCCCTCAGTCTCCCTGCGCAGGGGGCTTGGAGACGCAGGTAAAGCAGTTCACATGGATTTGCTGAGTGAGAGACAAAATGGCGGAGATTTCTTCAGCCGAATGAATCAGTAAACGTTTAAGTTAATGGTTTCTGGTTCATGGAGAGGAAACATTTGGCGTGGCGAAAAGTGTGCTTTGTCGCGTGGCCTGGCGTCTGGTTAACATTTAGCTTACTTTAGCCGGTGAGCTAAGCTAGCGTCAGTTAGCTAACTACATTGCTAACTAGCTAGCTAACGTTAGCCTTTCTTCAGCCCCGACACGCGTCACGCCAAACTCCATTCAGTAACACAGCAAAACGTCCACACCCCATCAAACGTGACTGTCGCCCCTCCTGATTCAGTACTAACTGTTGGCTCAGTCAGGATCCATCTGACTCAACAAGGAGCAGCTCCAGGAGACAAATGCATCCGAAAATTCTGCCACAGTTCATGCTAGCTGACTGCCCCCACCAATTGTTATTGAGCCTGACAAATCAGTCACAGCCAAAGAATCGCTTAAAACATATTTAATGTCTCCATATGGTGTTGGGTGCAAGCCAAATTTAAGACTGACCCTACTTTTTAACAACCCCTGTAAGGTCTGAATTTGTGTTGCAGTAGGAAAAAAACGTAGACAAGTAAACAAGACTATTGAAGTTATAAACTACAACATGTGAAATTAGCTTTGTGTTGGTGGTAACCAGGCTGACATTGTGTCTGCTACTTCAGTGAGGCCAGCAGTCATTGTGTGTGACCATGGTGGCATTCGTGTATTGATTGATTGGTGTAGCACCAATAGTGTACAGAAGGAGGTGGGGCAGAGGCAGTTACTTTTTCTACAGCCTGACACGGAAGTTAGCATCACACTGGTTCCCTATGGATGTATAAAGAGACTTGGATATAGCATAGGCAGTGGGTAGGGATGCACGCCATTGGATTTTTTGCTGATATCCTATATATATATATATATATATATATATATATATATATATATATAAATTAACCCTTTTCCTGCCTAACTTAACTGACCAGCAAGTCTCTTCTTCAGTGGAATTAACATCATATTATGCGTGCAATCTCTTATCGTGATGGCCCACCAGCCGATGGAGACATGAAATACAATACTTAAATGTATGTGATATTCGTTCATTGTGCAAATTAAGAAATAGCATGTCGGTTGTTTCCGATTGTTAATTTTAAAGCCCATATCGGCTGATACTGATGACATGCCAATATTATCGTGCATCCCTAGTTTGAACCAATCCAACAGCATCCAATCCGGTTGCAGGAGAGAACTGCAAAGAACTATGGTTACATTACTGAACGCCATTAACGTTCAAAAACTACTCACAGGTCAACACATAATTTGCAGTACGAAAAACTTGCAGGTTGAAAATTACAAACAACTTCCAAAAAACTTTTCTTTAGCAAATAAGTTCAACTTTAATATATCATTATTCTCTTGGTTCCGATTATGTACCGATATTATCAGCATGTTGGCCGATTCCAGTATTTCATTTTAAAACCAATATTGGCCAATACAATGAAGTGCTGATATTATCATGGTTCCTTAATTGGGCCCATAGAGCAGGCACACGAGAGACTTACTGACCATGACCAAGTCCAAGCGGCTGACTTCTTGTTAAGCACTCTGCTAACTTCAGTGTGGAGAAAATGATGTAATCTCGCAGCTCTTTTAGACTCCAGTGTTATCTGACCGAATGGATTCAATCATGATATTGGAATTAGTCATTTAGCAGGGGTTGACATGACAAACTGATGTATTTTATAGCATAGAACAAAACGTGAAAATCTCCTAAGCTTGTGTTAACAGAGACCTTTTTTCAGGTATCTTATCAAAAACTCATTCCAAAAAAAAAAAACCCATTGACTTTGAGATGAGGAAACCATGGGTGGTAAAATCATAAATATTAATAATAACTAGGTACCGCATGCCAAGATGGCGCCTATTCATTCCAGTGGGGTTGCTCACCTGGCACATACACCAAAAAAAAAAAAATCTCAAGCTTTTAACGCACAGTATTTAATTTCTGTCGTTTCTCAATCAAATCAATAAGAAAAGATGTACTCCTATGACGTTGTGAAGGAGCATGGGATCATTCATTGCTGATTAAAATCTGAAAAAAATCTGATGTGAGTCAGATAGAAATCATATTCATGTATTCATGTTCAGTCATGTTATGTCGAATCCTTCTAATGAAATAGCCAGTCAGTCAGTCACGTTAACTTGCTGACTCACCATTATCATTAGATGAGTTAACTCCGCTGCTACTGCAGCTAATGTTATGTGGAGAATTCAGTCTTGGGGTAGCGCTGCACTGTTACCCTTGGTTAATACAGTCATAACAAAAATAACTTGTGGGTAATTCATAATATGAAAGTTTTATTCAACATTTGTTACATCTCCATTGTGGAAAAATTTAACACAGTAATTAACATTATTGTTTTATTGCCCAACCCTGATTGTGATTGCTCACTGAACAACAACTTTGGCCATAAGTTCATAGTGAGCCAGCTTTTCTTTGCCATTTAATGTCTTGGAGTTAGTTAGTAAATACAGTTTACAGTATAGTTGGTTTATCTGTTCAGTCAGTACAAATCTTAAACAAAACCATGGCAACCGGGCTCTGAATCATTATGCTTTAGCATGTTCTGTTCCTTTGCCACCATAATAAATTAGTTGAATTATATTTTCCAGGAACATTACAGACTTACTACCGTTTTTTTTTCTGTAAAATGGAAAAAATAGATTAAATGACACCAGACACCACACCATAACAATAATCAAACATTTCAGTAACAGCAGGGAGTATATGTATGTCTTATTTGCTCCTGGTGTGAGTTGCTGTTTGAATATTGTCAAAGACTTCCTGCCTTGCTTTTGTGATAGAGCATCAATGGTCAATACATGCATTTTAACATCTTTAATCATCAGAATTGATAAGTTGTATTATGGAGGGGTGAATGCGTATAGCTGCTCACAGCAGCACGTCTTTCATTGACGAACATGACCCTGGAAGACACTGAACACACGTTGTTCTTCATTGCTTTATGCCCATGATACACATCAAACGTGTACACAAGTAGGCAGCTGGTGGAGTCCTGGAGAACAATATCTTTAGGTGTGAAAACTGCAAACTGAAGCCAAGCTTTAATATCAAAGCTATCTGTCTCTTAGTGAAAGTCATTTGAACTCAAAGCGCTGCTTTATATTTTTACATAACAATATACTGAAACGAATAAACAGTTGTAATTATCATTCTCTGATGATCAGCTGATTGACTAATCATTCCCGCACTAACAGTCAGTATGCTCCCTGGGCAGTGTAGCCTGTCTGCCCCCATTATCTGAAAACATATAACCTTTGTCAGCTTTAGAGAGGCTGTACACTACCTGGAGAGTCAGTCGAACATATGATATTTATCCACAGTGACTGCTTTCCATTTGCTCTGCAGCCTCTCCCCATTCATTGTGACGTGTAGCGGCACTGGCAGTTTTAAAATGTTAATCTGTCCATCCCAGACTTTCAGTTCTCAGAGTTCTCCACCTGTCTGCATGAAGTTTAGGAAGTCAGTGTAGTTTCATTTTCAAAATTCTTGAAGCAGCTATGAAGCCATACAGGTCTTACACCCAGTGTCCACAGAACATGTCTGTATTACAGCTGTGCTGCAGCTGCTTCTTAGTGTGTAAGTGTCCACCAGATGTGTCTGTGCTCTGGTTTCTACATGCATCTGCTCTATTTTTAAATGTATTTTAAGACTTGTGTCTCTGCAGTGAGAACAACATTTGTAATGCATTGTATTGGTTAATAACCATATAAATAGAAAACAAGCGGCTGGGTGCTATTTTTAGGGACGCTTGTCTTTCTTTGGTTGGAGACAGAGAGGGAGACAGAGAAGAGGTCGCCGAAGCACAAGCTGTTTGAATTTGTGTTATTTTTGATGTTGTTAGTGGACATTGGGTCCACAGTGATGCAGCTGGAAAGTAACTCAGTTATCAGTAGGTACATAGCCATCCATGTTTGTATGTGCATTTTCATTTTGCACAAAAAACCCAGTTAAAAAGCCAGCTATCAAAAAAATGTCACAATGCAGTGGACACATTTTGGCCCATGAGTAAAGAGAAAATACTGTTGTTTTCTTTCCAAGTAGCAGTGACATTGCAGTCTTTGCTTCTCTGTTCTCAGATGTAGACAAAGCACCCAAGTCTTGCTGCCACTCACATTACATGACCCCTCCTTACATCAAACAGCCCCAAAAATCAAGAATAAAAAGAACAGGTGTCTGAATACAGACTCTTATTGCATGTAATGCTGCTTTTTGTGCTTAGGAAACCTTGCAGGTTGTGCATGCACCAGAGGGGACATATGTAATGTTTAAAGTAACACCAATATCATCTTAGTTTTGCAGCAATTAAAAATTATATATAACAGTTGCTGGTGCTCATTTGATATGTGTGATACGTTTAAGAGGGCTGCTTTTTATTATACAGACTGCACAAAGCACAGTTTTGCAGACTGACTTTTGTTTCATGGCATCTACAGGAGTTGGTGTCCAAAGAAAAGTTATTGAAGCCCGGTTTGTGTCAGCCAGGGGTTGAGCAGTGATTGTGATCGGTTCAATAGATCTGTGGAGCTTGTAATGCTGCGAAAATGCTTTTAAAAAGCACAGAGAGGTCATTGAGTGTGTTTGAGTGCAGGCCGGGCTGGAGGGTAAAGTGATCAAAGCAGCATAGTGCTCCTCTTGGCTCCAAACCATCGTGTATCGGGTTTCGCCAGCATGCTGTGTTGAACCCTGCTATTGGCTTCGACAGATAACACCCTGTCTGTGAAGTTAAAAGCCGAGTGATTGGCACACTGCTCTAACCTCCGGGGGAGCATGGGAGGTGTGACTCTTCTGCAGCTCGAGCCACAGTTTTGTTTTAATCACTGTTTTTTTTAATCATTAGCATACCCAACATGATGCTACTTAATGAGACAACATTCTACAGAAGGCGTTGTTGCATTTTCACATTCAGCATAACAGTATAATGTTTCATAGACTCTCAGGTTTATTCAGAAATGACCTCTAATGTAATACCGACAATCACTGAACCATTTCAGTTGATTTGGATGTTTATGTTCCTTCTCCTTGAACGGCTTCTTTTTATTTCATCAGAGGCCCCATGTTGTGTCTGTTTTTTGTTAATCCCAAGGGAAACAGCTTGTTGTGCTAATTAGTAGCTCCTTCAGAGGGAAGTGTCAAATTGTTTTCATTGCCATTTCACCCCCGGATTCTATATTGATGTTTTTCACACATACTACTGAATCACCTTGAGGATGTGAGATGTAGAAGACATCACATTTGGTCAAGCTCAGCCCTCGGCTTCATTGTCCTGGCTGTGTTCCCTGTATCCCATCATAGGTGTCCATAGGTGGAGAATCTCTGCATTAGAAGAGTTTGTACTCGGGCAGTGTCCCAGGCTCTCCATTAATAAAGTACTGAGGATGACAGAAACCTTTCAGGGCTCTGCACTGTGGTTTTAACTGTTAATGGCAGGAGGATGTGCGCGTCTTCAATTAAGAAAATCAGATTGTGTACCTCAAAATGCCAATAATTATAATGGAGGAGACGGTTTTAAATACTCACTTTCCCCTCCAGTGATATTGAGCCATGCAGATAGTTTTTTGCTTTCGTTTGCTGGATTTTAGATTAATGCCTCTGAGATATCTACCTACATCCACTGCAGTAGATATGAATGGTATATTGGGGGTTTTGGTGTTCAGACATTAAAAAAAATTACTTTTAAAATTCAACAGCAGCATTTCTTCCCAGACAAGGTGTCAGTGTTGCTCTGCATAATCCACAGAATACACTGTCAGCAATTTTATAAGACTAGCTCCAATGAAAAATGATTACTTAATATGAATGTAAACACCCTTAAAATCTGCAGGTCAGGACTTAAACATCATAGTCATCGTTTCATTTTAAATCTAATAAGCTGCAGTAAAAACCAAAACTAAAGAAAAAGTTGTTCACTATCCAGTAACAGTATGTTGGCCATTATTCATTTTATAACTGAAACACGTAGCTCAAAGGTCCAGATTGTAGGATTTAGGGGGATATATAAGACAGGTGTTTGTTACATTAGAATGAGCTTTTTATATCTACCTAGGGAGCGGGCTGTCGTCTACAGAGATGGCTAGGTTAAATCACCTGGTACGTTTGATTTAAAGTGACCTCTGTAGATAGTTTGGCTCCCTGAACACTACGTAAAAGTTTCAGCTGTTTGCGATCTACAATCCTCACCACTAGATGCCACTTAATCTCCTAAAATCTTACACACTGCTCCTTTAAAGGTGCCCCGTGCTGTTTTTTTTATATATAGAATAAATGAATAGAATATAGTATATCTTTATTGTCCACCAGGGGTGGAACTTTGTCTCACCAGACACAAAACACAACATTGTAAAATCCAGACAAATGGTAAAACAAGTGTACAAAGTCATTACAAAACACTGAACACATTAGATCAGCTTATTGTCTGTCCATAGTTTAAAAACTCAACAGTCACCTTGTTGAGTTAAGTATACTGGTGGCACCTGGGATGAAGGACCTCTTAAATACATTTAAGTTGCCAGAGGGACTCTACAGCGCCTCCCACAGCTCAAGAGCTTGATCTGATACTGTCTTCCTAGTCCTTTCTGTGAAATCCAACAAAAGTTGTGTTTACATTTAATATGACTCACCAAAAAACATTGTATGTTATCTTTGAGTCTTAACAAATATGTTCAGTGCATTGCTCATTTGCAGAGCTGATGTTGTATTTGTATTTTAATCCATCATTGTTAACATCCATGTTTACTGGCTTGACTTGTCTTTGTTGGTGCATTGCTGCATATTTTGACACATTACAGTCACCTTTACAACATTTAGTGTTTGAGACATAGGTGGGGAAAAACTCCCTTTCAAGATGGGACCAATCCCAATATTTAAGCCTAAGCAGATACAATGTAGATATAAGGCCTCGTCGAGCCTTCGAGTATCTCTTTGCTTGAGCTACAGTAGGATCTAAAGGTAGTGGGGCTGCCCCCCAATAGCTGACCAAACGTTAAATCAAAAAGGTCATTAGTCAGCAAGGTGTCATTGGTCACTTAGTCCCAGGAAAAAAAAAAAACAAGAACAAATCTGAAACTCTATCAGGAGCTCCACCGTATAAAAATAAATCAAAACCTATATGACTGTACTGCATGGGAATTTAATTTGAAAGGACAGACACAGGAAGTGTCCACGCTCAGCAGTCAGACAGAGCAGGTTAATTTCCAGGGCTGGTACCTGCGGTTATTCCACAGGCTAGTTAATAACATGTCGGACAGGAAATCCAAAGTGTGGGATCATTTTGAGAAGGTGAAGGACGAACCCAAGGTGATATGTAAACTCATCTTCATTGGTCGACTACAAACATGACGTATCATCTGAAACATGGAAGTAGCTACATGCCCATTAGCCCACAGCGTCATTAACAGGCGGCTCGCTCCTTGTGTGACGTGCACTTGTAGATAAAATATAGGCCTATATTAATGAAGGTTCATTAGTACGCTTTTGTATTTTATATTATATTATTTGTATTAAACATGCGGGCGACTAGTCGACTAATGGCCCTAAATGAAGACTATTTGTCAGCTAGGAAAATTCTCAGTCAGGGTACAGCCCTAAAAGGTAGTTGAAAGGTACATTAGGTCAAAGGTGGCGAATGGTGTCACCAGTCAGAAGGCTCAGTAGATTTATGATTGCACGGGCTGACACCGCAGAGCCTAATGTTAGGTCAATACACCATTTAACAGTACTGGGCTGCCATAGGAAAGCTCAGCCAACTCGGGCCCATATCACCATGTGTACTGACAAATGTAAAATACAAAGTATCTGCGATAAGCTAAAAAGGCTCATAATATCAGACATAGCAGTGTATTGATTAGGCTCTATTTGCAAGGACTTTATAGGAACCAGTAAACAATCCTGACCAGACAAACCCCCAGTATTTTTTGTGGGGGAGACGTTCGGAATCACATCCATACTCGGGTGCTTTGTAACATTTGTTTTCACACAATATTCATGTTGTTGCTACTGTTTGTGCAGAGGGACTTGAGAAGCCCATGCCTTATGTCATTTGTCTCCCTCTGCCTTTCAGAAATGGTAGAGTCGATGAAGAAAGTGGCCAGTATGGACGTGGAGCTCACGGTGGAGGAGAGGAACCTGCTGTCAGTAGCATATAAGAACGTGATCGGTGCTAGAAGAGCTTCCTGGAGGATAATTAGCAGCCTGGAACAGAAAGAAGAAAACAAAGGCGGAGAAGACAAACTAAAGATGATCCGGGAATACAGGAAAACGGTCAGACACTGTTGCAAACTGAAATTTACCAACTGGTTACTTTCAGCCGTTGCAGACTTCTAAGCTTCAAGGTTTCAATCATGAAAATTGAAACGCTTATCCAACATTTTGACATGTTTTTTTTTTTAAATTGAAGACAGTCTTCAATCACTGTAGCGCCAAACAATATTTATTCCTTCTTTTGTTGTTGAGAACTCGAGAACTTTAAATGGCAGTCGTCCATTTTCAGCCCATTCTGCACTTGCCAGGCAGAAGTATTGGTGAAACAAATCACACCACACAGCTGCAATCCGTCTGTGCTGATGTCTGCAACAGATCCCAACAAAGCATTAACAGCCTTTTGTGAATCTTTCTGCAACACACTGACTTGGTTTCAGTTAGCTTTGGAGGGAAAGTAGTCACTGTTTACCCTGTTGTAGTCACAGATTCTCTTCCATTAGTTTATAGAGTAAACATCTCTGGCTTGTAATACTCACAAAGTCCTGAATTGGACACAGTAATGAAAATACAAACCCTTAAGTAGGACTTTAAGTTGCCACCCACTTTATGTCATGGAGATAAGTGTAGCTGGTGCACTCTCAGATAATCTAATTACCATATCTAGTAGGCAAGTTGCCAGATATGCTTTACCCTTTTGGCAGGACTCTTTAAGCTCTCCTCCATTGACCTCTCCACCCTGAGAGGAAATGTCGAGATTTCACATCCCAACAATACCTGTCTGAGTGAAATAATGAGGTCGGCAGCAATCATGAATCAACTTTAGATCACCCTTTCTTCATTTCTGCTGCAAAGAAACTCCGAGTCACTGGTGGCACCACTGAGTGCAGTGCAGCACAGCATGGGCACTGAAACCAGGTATTAAACAGGCACTGGGAGACCGTAGTATTGACAAGCTCTGACATTAACGGTTGTGCTGTTGGTATTGGAGAAATTCAGACAATATATTTCTTGTTCATTTAGTTCACACAAATGTAAGCCTGTACAGTTTGTATCTTCCCAATTCTGTTTCTAATTTGCAGCAAGATTAAGACATTCGTCACTGATGCATTTTTGCTATCCAGTCCAGAGGAGAGCTCTCTGTGTGGGGCGGGGTCAGCTCTGCCGCTCTGTGTCTCACACACACACAGAGGCCCTGCTCTCAGTGACAATGGCGGTATGGTTACACTTCACAAGAGTTGATGCCGACACTGCTCCTTGCCACAAGTTCAACAGCTCCTTTGCATGTGGGGGCAGAAACACAAGCAATCTTCTGAAACTTGTAGTGAAAGTGCATCACATACAGGCAGAGAAATGCACCGCTTTCGACCGCCTAGCTTGTAGTTCATCTCGTTACCCCGTCCACCTCAGGTATGTTATAGTATAACTCCCTGCTAACTTGTAGCAGGAAAGGCAGTATCAAAAGGAAGAGCTGTTTTATTCACAAGGACATGCTGCCGTATAGTGATGTTAAAAATGTCAGATTTAGTTGTCTGCCAGTGACCCTGGAGCTGAGTCACACTGTCGGCTTCTCTTTGACAAATGCTTCCTCTGGGACGGCCCCAAAAGCTGCCCTCTGTGTCTCTGCCCATTCTGACTATTGTTGGTGTGGCGAGAGACAGGATTTTGTACTTTGAAATAAAAAACAAGAGAATGCTGATGTTTTTAAATGAGTTACTGCCAGTCATAACTCGTTAATTAATTTACAAATTTAAATATCAAATCTGAGTTTATTTGACATTGAATTTTAACTTTGAGGAGCAGAATTTTCCTTCTAAGTAAAAAAGGAAGTGTTAAAGGTAGTGTTGATCCAGCACCTGTCAGGTTTTGTGCGACCACACAGACTCATGACAGCAGTGTTTCTGCATTTTGGTCCTCAGGTCGAGAAAGAGCTGAAATCAATCTGCAACGACATTCTGGATGTACTGGACAAGCACCTCATCTTAGCCGCAACCACGGGAGAGTCTAAGGTTTTCTACTACAAAATGTATGTATGTTATAAATGTGTGAGTGTTGTGTTGTCATGTCTTATGTGTACAGATTTTCAAAAATACTTTACAGAATGTCAAAAACATCTTTTTTGCAGGGATGGGCATGAGTAAATACTCGTTTTAAACGTCAGCAATCGTTCAATATATGAAGTGACGTAACCACTGTTTATGAATATCTGCACCAATCCATGTAGCAAAAATAATAGATCTGCGCAGCTGCAGATAATGTTTGTTTTCAGTCAGACGTCACTAATGTTACAGGCAGAATGATGTAAAGGCATCAGAGTGATGTTTGGAAGTATTTCGACAAAATAAACTAAATGAATGTGCAGTGCTTTGAAACGTTAAGCCCAGTTCAGACTAAAGATTCACATGAGATGAGATGAAACGAGCAACTACTTGCAATGGCCCGTTCAACAACGTTCTAAAAACTGGCCAGTTCACACCGCTGCAACTTTTCTTTGCTACATTCTAGAACGGTTTTGTCTCGTCATGAGTCTTTGGTCTGAACTGGACTTTAAACTTGTGTATCACAGCTCATCTCTACAGTCTGTGCATGGCAGGAAGGAAGGCTAACCCTTAGCGCCACCTGCATATTCACCTGTGTGTTTTTGCAGTACTCAATAACAATTTAATGCAAGTACGTGTATATGGCAATTGTTTAAAATGCCTATCCTTAATTATGAATATTCCATCTCAGTACCATGTAAAGATATTCCATGAAACGGTCCGTGGTGTTTAGGTGTGGTGGCCTTTAAATATGCCTGTCAGAGCTGAGATGCATTTCGAGGCTCACAATCCTATTGGAAAATGAAGCTCAGCCACACAGTGTAAAGCCATAAAAAACATCATGTAAAATAAATAAATGAATTTAACTTTAGAATAGATTAAACATCATCACGTGAGAATGTTTTACCCTCCATTTTCTGCACTGCATTCTAACTGAAGCCACCTGATAACATGAAGTGCAAACTCTGAATGACGACTGAGCTCAGTCATTAGTTTCAGTCTGCAGGAGTGAAATGCTGGCTCACTGTTCAGAAACTGCAACTCTCCATTAAGGCAGCAGAAGTCTTTGCACTGCACTTTATTAACCACAGCAAGGTTCTTTATTCACTTGGCTCTGTTCTCTGTAGGCTGTAGATGCTGTTAGGTCTTTAAAAGTTGTTCACTTGATGTTTGTTACCAGTGCTCTGGTCCCTGTTGTTAATGTACATGTGTGAAAGCAGATATGTGTCTGACTGCATTGTTCCCTCTGCTCAGGAAGGGAGATTACCACAGGTACCTGGCAGAGTTTGCTACGGGCAACGACAGGAAGGAGGCAGCAGAGAACAGTTTGGTTGCGTACAAAGCTGCTAGCGACATCGCCTTGATCGAACTCGCTCCAACGCACCCCATTCGTCTGGGATTGGCCCTTAACTTTTCAGTTTTCTATTATGAAATCCTCAACTCGCCAGACCGTGCTTGCAAGTAAGTGTCATCATTTTGTGTTGTCTGTTTAAGGAGTAACTAAACCCAAGACTTTAACCTGAAGTGCCTCCTCCCTGGAATGTGAAAATGGGCAGGGACACAGCCAGTCACTCTATCGTGCCGCCTCCTGATCGACACCACCCACACACACAAACTGAAATCGTTTGACCTCAAAATCGTAATCGAGATCACCAGATGATTAATTGCACAGCCGTACTTTCCTGCACATTTTTTGTAGAATTTGGGATTTCTTCAGGGTGTTTGGCATCCCAGGTTTGTTAATATCATAGAGGTAAAGTGTTGCGTTGGACCTGGCTTGTTGAATGTATTGTATCATCAGAAGTAAACTATCGTGTTTGACGTAAAAAAAAAGGCTCAAGGTGCCAGAACCTTTACTGTCATGAACACCCGCTGGCAGCCATTTTAAGCAACAAAGCTCTGATAAAGCCACTGTGCATTATTCCCCCAACAACAAACAGCAGACAGAAGAAGTCATCCAGTGGCAGGCGGACAGAGTCAAGCATCTAAAAAGCGAACAAACGAGACACAGTGGATTTATCTGCTGGACTGAAACTTCTTGTTTGGAAGCTTTTCTGCCCTGTGGAGGCCAAAAATCCACGAATCCCGTGTGTCAGAGTAAATTAAATCCACATTTCAACAACTCTTCCTTTCTGCTGTTGCTCAAAATCCCACATGAAAAGAAACTGTGTGTTCCAGCTGTCAGACAGTGTTTGTGATTCTCAGGAACACGGCGCTTTGTCACCAGCAGATCCCTTTTCATACATGCAATTATATCCACCTGTTTACTGTTCTGTGTGTAACTGTGTTGTCTTGTAACCTCTCTGCCGACAGGTTGGCGAAGGACGCGTTTGACAATGCCATTGCAGAACTGGATACGCTGAGCGAGGAAAGCTATAAGGACTCAACACTTATCATGCAGTTGCTACGTGACAACTTGACACTATGGACCTCAGACGTTCAGGGAGATGGTGAGAAAGTCTTTACCTTCTTTTTAGGAAACTAGCTATGGTTAGTTTTTTAGTTCTTGTATTTTAAAGCCGGTGACTGCCTTGTTTCTATAAGCTCTCAGGCTGATACCACATCTAGAAAACTGTGACCTACCTAATTCCTCCCTCTCTAACCTTTCCCCTGATAGGAGTGGTTTCTCTAAAGCCAGACGCCCTCTCCCTCCTCTCTGTCTCAGGCTCAGTACTCACACACTGCTCTAACTTCTCATCTCCCTTGTTCTTCTCTAGATTCTTAAGGACAGCCCTCTTCCTTCACTCTTCCATTATAGAAGTGTATTTTGTAAGTCACTCCTCCTGTCTGTCTTTGGCTTTCTCACCTCAAGCTCTTCTGTCTCGCCACCGCGACGTCCGTCACTAACTTGCTCACATTTACAAAGTCCAGCCTTGTTGAGTGTTTTTGGGGTCAAAGGAGACTATAGCCTCTCCTGCCCTGTTTGCCCACAGCTCTGAGGGATTACAGAGCTGCAGTTACTGATTCTTGTCTTTTTCACCTTTCTCCACCCTTTTGTGCACGAGAGGAACTAATTAGCTGTGTGCGTGCACTGTGTGTTTTAGTGTCTTCAGGGTGTCCGCAAGTCAGTAAAAGTCTAAATTATGCATTAAAATACTGTCAAATAGAGAGTGGAGGTCCTTCACTTCCCTGTTAGCTGCTACTCCACTCTGCGAGCTTCTCTTTCAATACCCAGTTTGCTACAAAACAGAACAATAAATCCCATTCACTTAAACATATACACCTTGATTAAGAACATTTAATTTGATTTCACTTTTATTATTAATCCCTGATAATCCGCCTCAAACTCAAAGCACTAATCTGTGTGGGTTCATGAGATACAGTGGGTGAGGAAGTGTATATTAATTTATAGCCTTCAGTATATTAACATTTCTGCTCCGTTGTTGTTGTTCAGCATGTGTACATGTAAGATGTGACAGTTGGTCTTAATGGTGGGCTATTTGTCCCGCCCCTTCTCCACTGTGATTGGATGGCTGGATAAAAAGTGACAGTAGCCCTTTTTACAGGAATTGTGCAAATTTGCAGAAAAACCCAATCAGTCCTTTTTCAGCATTGGCAGTATAAAAACAAAATCGGGGAGTGTGGTAAAATCAGCTGTTTCCTGTTTATCCACCGCCAGTGGCTAGCACGTGCGGCGTCATCAACAGCCCCTCCCGTTGCGGAAGGCCGCCTCGTTCTTTTTAAACCAATAAGGTTCAGCCAATATGACTACCCTTCGAGGCGGAAAATTGGGCACCTCGAATCAACTCGCCATTCCACCTCTGTGTATCTCAACACTCGCAGCTTGCCGGCAAAACGGCCAAACATTTGCCAAAAATTCTGGCAGTGTAAAAGGGGCTTGTGATGAGTGCAATATTTTACACAGAGATGAACATTTTCCAGCTCTCGGCAACCAGAAGAGAAAAAAAAAACAAAAAACATCAAATATGCAGTGCTCAGACACTCAGTGCCTCGTTGCAATGTTTGCGGCGTTTGTAGCATAGTGTCAATCTGCAGCACTCTCATCGCAGAGAAATAAAAAAAATACATTGGCCTCAGGAAAACTTTTCTTTTCGACAAGTCTAGGGATGTCACATGACATCCCTAGACTTAATTAATATCTAGGACAGGTTTCCATATAAACAGGTTGTGCAGACTGTTGCTTCCGTTGTAAGTGATGTGGAACAAAATCTTGTTCAGCGCAAAAAAAAATATATTCCGGCGGCGTCGGGAGCGTAGTGGATAGTGCCAGCGCCCCATGTCTCTCTCTCTCTCTTTCTCTCTCTCTCTCTCTCCCTCCCTCCCTCCCTCCCTCCCCCATTTCTCACACTGCCCTGTCCATTAAAGGCAAAACGCCCAAAAAAATAATCTTGAAAAAAAACATTGTTTTTCTTGTCAATTAATGAGAATTTAACTGTCTTAATTACAGTCACAATAAAGTCAGCATCTTACAACTCTGTATTTGCTTTATTTCAGTATGATTTTACCTTTTTAAAGGTATTTTTAGGCATTAAGCTTTAGCTCCACATCAGTGTGATTTTAATAAGGTTTTATTACTCTGGGAACAGAACCTGAAAGTTCAGGTTTGACTTAATTTCCGTGTAAAACATTTTCCCTTTGAGAAACACGAGCAGAAACATGGCTTCACTTCTCTACCACGATGGAAAAAGAGTGTGATTCCAGCCTTTAACTATAGACTAAAATAACTTGCGGACACCCTGCTCCTTCACCACCGCACGTCAGTATCACTGAGCACACCCCGCTGGGGCGTTGGAGCAGATCCTGCCTGGATGAGGCAGAGTTTGGAAACCTGTGAACGCAGCTTGTTGAAGTGTGATATAACAGACAAACTGCAGAAACAGCATGTGAGGCCGCTGCTCCATCTCCTGTGGCTTTCTCACATCCCAGTTAGCTGTGGCGCTAATGAGCACTGTTACGGTTTCTATTTTAATCATGATGGATTCTCCAGCCTTTGTTATTTGTGCCTCTTAATTCTTCATTACACGGATGGCTGTGCTGTCTCTATGGTAACCTTTCTAAGCAACCAGTTGTACAGGTTCACAAGGCATTTTACCCCCTTAGTACATCTGACCACAGCTTGTTTTGAAGACACTGTGAACTAACTGTTGCTCACTGGCCTGCATGGTGACACAATCAGTTGTTTACTTGTAAATGTGGGTTTTATTTGTTGCATGACCGACTGATCACTGATCAACACATTTCTGAGGTGATCCCAATCATCTCTAAAAGAAAGGTCTTCTTTCAGTTATGTCAACTCACCATAATTTGAATTTAACTCCTTGAAATAAGCAGAAATCATCAAATAACAACTCAGATCTTTCTCTAACTGCAGCTCCTTTACTCTCTGAATAAAGGAGCTGCATAGGAAAGATAGATTCCCTTCTCCACAGTGAACAGAGAATCCAAAAAAAGGCAAACATTCTTTATTAACTGAAGTAAAGGGGGACTGCGTTAAACAACAGAGAAAACTATATCAAAACATCCATTTACAAACTCTCACACAACTCGTGCAGTACAGCCCATCACCCCTACTCCACCAAAATTAGTGCATGAATGCAGAAAATCTTTTTAACACAGGCAAAAATGCTAAAAATAGGCTAGACGTCATTTCCCATATAAAAACATTGTGTAGGATCCATACTAAAAATCTGCGTACGGACAAAAGCCAGGCAAGCGCCAAAAAACAGTTTCTGCAATCAGGTTCCACCTCACCATCTGCGTTGCCAATTTCCTGTCTCCAGCATGTTTGTAACCACGAGTCCAAGTTTCTCCCATCAAGTCTTTTTATAAATCACAACTTTTTCGTGGAGAGTGGCGTACGTTACTTGTAAGCGGATATGTTTTAAACATAACATTTGAGTGAATAAGACTGGATAAATGAGATTTGGATCATACTGCGCGAGTTGTGTGAATGTTTGTAAACATATTTTCATATAGTTTTGCATTGGTTAAACGCAGTCCTTCATTTACTTAAATTCATGAACCATGTTTGCCTTTTTGGATTCTCCGTTCAACATGGAGCTATCTGAGAGAAAGAAAGCTTTATTCACAAATTCACCGTAACCTGCAGTAAGTCATTGATACACAAATGGTCACTCTGTGGGCAAAGTATAATACTTAAGCTGTGAACTTTTTAGTAATGTTGACACATGATTATTTTGGCAGTTGATAAACAAGAAATTGATGCATTTAATTGTCTGCATTTTCCTCCTTTTTGCCCCGAGTAACTATCACTGTGACTGATTCTGAGTACACTTCATTTTGTAGCTTACCAAACACAGCACTGAAAAACAGGGTTGGGATCAGGATGTTGTATGAAATGCCACAAACTCACAGACCTTGGTGAAATTACTAGTTTCTAAAACACAAATTGCATGTTGTGGACACAAATAATTCAAGGTTAAAACAATTAGTCAGTTTGGATAATCAATCAGTTATTTTCTCATTTAAAATGCAAAACATTTTCTAGTGGAAGCTTCAGAATGACGAGGCTCTGCTGTTTTCACTGGATCTTTAATGTTTTTCAGTGGATCTGACAAAACAAGAAATTTGAAAATGGCATATTCATTTCTTCCCCACAATTTTGACATTTTATAAACAAAACAATTAATTTATCCAGAAAACAATTAGCAGACGAATCAATAATGAAAATAATCATTGGTTGCAGGCACATTTTTAAACAAAAATAAAATGAGGCAATTTTAAGGAACACACACACACACACACACACACACACACACACACACACACACACACACACAGCGCAGCCAAGCATCTCCAGGCTGATGTGTTCATCATCACGGCCACATTTAGTTACCTTTTGAAAACGTCTAATTGAGTGTGCAGAGATAACATTGTGTTATGTTCTTGTCGTTATCTCAGGTGAAGAACAGAACAAAGAAGCACTGCAAGATGCGGAGGAAGAGACCCAGTGAGACTGAACAACACAAGACAAGCCCTCTTCTTCTTCTTCCTCCTCTTCCTCCTCCTCCCTTGTTTCTCTCCTCCCAGCACTAGCTTTTGTCCCCAGCCACAGTTTTCAACTGGGTTTATACTGCAGCCCACACTCTTTCTCTACCTTTCCCTCCATTTCTGCCCATCCGTCTCACCCTTTCTCCTCATATGCATGTCATGTCCCAGTCCCCCCTCAGGGCCCGCTCGGGTCTCCATTTCCACTTCCCAGGAGTTTTACCTTATTTTTTAATGACTAATTTTGCAAGCCTGTACCCTTTAAGGTTCATGTCCTCTTTTACGGTTTTTATTTTGCTTTACTTCGCTGTATCATTTGTTGCCAAGTTCGCTTGCCTGTATTTGTAACACACATATGCAAGAGTTTATTTAAAGACGATACTTTGCTGTTCAACTTTTTCCTGTATTTGTGTGTTTATGAACAATTTATCGTCCATGCTTCTGTCAGTCAGTCAGTTTTGAAACATTTCAGTTCGCAAATTGAGGAAATAAAGTGGTGATGGAAGACTTACAAGGGATGTGTGAAAGCGTTTAGGAAGAACTAAGTGCCCTCTTTACTTTGTGGTTACCAAACCTGCTCTTTCAACACATCAATAGGTCTTTTTTTTTAATGACAAAGGGCAGAATGTCCCCCCTTCTCCTAGCATCACTCTGACCTCTATTCTTGTCCACTCTCGGACCAAGTATTGTGCTGCGAGGCTGTAGCGCTTTTGCTAATGGCAGATAGTTGGGTAATGGCTTTTTAGCAGACAAAATGTGCGTATGTGTGTGCGTGGGAGGGGAATGCTCAACACTCTTGATTGTAATATAATGCAGTTTTGCATTGGCACCGTATAAAAAAAAAAGTTTGGGAAATAGAGGCCTGCTGTATCCTTACTCCCCTGACTCTTTCAGGTTTCCTTGTCTCAATTCTGTCTCTTTCCTACTCCTCATTTCCTCTCTTCCTTCTGTTCGGTATGTGTAACGTGAATCTGATTTGTACTACTGGATATTCTCACCGGAGCCACAAGTACCATCTGTATTCTTACTGAAACACAGCATGGAATTAACATTAAACTTCAGATTGAAAAATGTTAAATTAACGTGTGAGATGTCGTCTTTTCATGTAAATATTTTTAATCTGATTTTTAATCACTAGAGGGCAGTGCAGGCCAGCAGCAGAGGAAAGAGTCCTACTTGTGTCTGAGGGTATGTCATTTGAAATTGATTTTAAAAAGTCATAGTCAAACAAAAGCCATCTGAAAAAAAGACACTACAGTATGTCAGAAAACAAGCCATGAAGTCAATAATGCCATAAAAAAAAGTCATAGTATAGTATGAGTAGTAGTTATGAATAAAAATCATATAAAATAGTATGTTGTAAAAATAATTTAAGTAACTTTATATAGCTATTTTTCTTGCTTAAAAATACCACAACAAACTAATGGTCTAGTATGCATTTAAAACAAAAACGTAGCATAATGTGGCATAACAAACTGATCAAGTCAATGTGTAGTATGTTGTAAATAACTGATTCAGTGTAGTATGTCAAATGTCATTTTATGGTATGATATACAAAAGTGACAGTAAAGGTGTCATGAAAACTAAGTCTAGTATATCTAAAGAAAGTCTAGTATAATATAGTATGTCAAGAAAATGCCATAACAGTCATACCAGTGACCAATAAAAGCCATTGTATTACATGTTATAATAATTGATGAAAGAAGTCAGTATGTCATGAAAAAGTGATTGTAACAGTCATAGTATATCGTGAAGAAGTAATTTTTGAAATACTCAAAGGATACTACATCATAACATCATACTATACTATATCATCCAAAATATGAAAAAAACCTCATACTATGGTCTGATGTCCAAAATGTTGTAAAAAAAGTCATAGTATAGTATGTCGTCCAAAATATGATAAGAACGTCATAGCATAGTATGTCATCCAAGATGTCATAAAAAAATCATAGTATAGTATGTCGTCCAAAATGTCATTAAAAAGTCATAGTATAGTATGACGTCCAAAATATGATAAAAAAGTCATAGTATAGTATGTCATCCAAAATGTCATAAAAAAGTCATAGTATAGTATGTCATCCAAAATATGATAAAAACGTTATAGTATGTTGTCCAAAATGTCATGAAAACATCATAGTATAGTATGACATCCAAAATATGATAGAAACGACATAGTATGGTATGACGTCCAAAATTTGATAAAAACGTCATAGTATAGCATGATGTCCAAAATGTCATAAAAAAAAGTCATAGTATAGTATGTCGTCCAAAATATGATAAGAACGTCATAGCATAGTATGTCATCTAATATGTCATTAAAAAATCATAGTATAGTATGTTGTCCAAAATGTCATAAAAAAGTCATAGTATAGTATGTCATCCAAAATATGATTAAAAAAAGTCATAGTATAGTATGTCATCCAAAATGTCATAAAAAAGCCATAGTATAGTATGTCGTCCAAAATATGATAAAAAAGTCATAGTATGCCGTCCAAAATATGATAAAAACGTCATAGTGTAGTATGTCGTCCAAAATATGATAAAAACGTCATAATATAGTATGTCATTCAAAATATGAAAAACACGTCATAGTATAGTATGACGTCCAAAATGTCATGAAAAAGTCATATTATAGTATTTCGTCCAACATATGATAAAAACGTCATAGTACAGTATGACGTCCAAAATGTCATAAAAAACTAGTATAGTATAGTATAGTATAGTATAGTATGACGTTTTTATCATAGTCAAATATGATAAAAACGTCATAGTATAGTATGTTGTCCAATATATGAAAAACACATCATAGTGTAGTATGACGTCCAAAATGTCATAAAAAAGTCATAGTATAGTATGACGTCCAAAATGTCATAAAAAAGTCATAGTATAGTATGTCGTCCAAAATATGATAAAAAAGTCATAGTATAGTATGTCGTCCAAAATATGATAAAAACGTCATAGTATAGTATGTCGTCCAAAATATGATAAAAACGTCATAGTATAGTATGTCGTCCAAAATATGATAAAAACGTCATAGTATAGTATGTCGTCCAAAATATGATAAAAACGTCATAGTATAGTATGTCGTCCAAAATATGATAAAAACGTCATAGTATAGTATGTCGTCCAAAATATGATAAAAACGTCATAGTATAGTATGTCGTCCAAAATATGATAAAAACGTCATAGTATAGTATGTCGTCCAAAATATGATAAAAACGTCATAGTATAGTATGTCGTCCAAAATATGATAAAAACGTCATAGTATAGTATGTCGTCCAAAATATGATAAAAACGTCATAGTATAGTATGTCGTCCAAAATATGATAAAAACGTCATAGTATAGTATGTCGTCCAAAATATGATAAAAACGTCATAGTATAGTATGTCGTCCAAAATATGATAAAAACGTCATAGTATAGTATGTCGTCCAAAATATGATAAAAACGTCATAGTATAGTATGTCGTCCAAAATATGATAAAAACGTCATAGTATAGTATGTCGTCCAAAATATGATAAAAACGTCATAGTATAGTATGTCGTCCAAAATATGATAAAAACGTCATAGTATAGTATGTCGTCCAAAATATGATAAAAACGTCATAGTATAGTATGTCGTCCAAAATATGATAAAAACGTCATAGTATAGTATGTCGTCCAAAATATGATAAAAACGTCATAGTATAGTATGTCGTCCAAAATATGATAAAAACATCATAGTATGTTCTGTCGTCCAAAATATGATAAAAATGTCATAGTATAGTATGTCGTCCAAAATATGATAAAAAAGTCATAGTATAGTATGTCGTCCAAAATATGATAAAAACGTCATAGTATAGTATGTCGTCCAAAATATGATAAAAACGTCATAGTATAGTATGTCGTCCAAAATATGATAAAAACGTCATAGTATAGTATGTCGTCCAAAATGTCATAAAAAAAATCATAGTATAGTATGTCGTCCAAAAAATGATCAAAACGTCATAGTATAGTATGTCGTCCAAAATGTCATAAAAAAATCATAGTATAGTATGTCGTCCAAAATATGAAAAACACGTTATAGTATAGTATGACGTCCAAAATGTCATAAAAAAAGTCCTAGTATGGTATGACGTCCAAAATATGAAAAACACGTGACAGTATAGTATGACGTCCAAAATGTCATGAAAAAGTCATAGTATAGAATGTCGTCCAAAATATGATAAAAAAGTCATAGTATAGTATGTCATCCAAAATATGATAAAAACCTCATAGTATAGTACGTCGTCCAAAATGTCATGAAAAGTCATAGCATAGTATGTCATCCTAAGTATGATAAAAACGTCATAGCATGGTATGTCATCCAAAATATTATAAAAAGGTCATAGTATAGTATGTCGTCCAAAATGTCATAAAAAAATCATAATATAGTATGTCGTCCAAAATATGATAAAAACGTCATAGTATAGTATGTCGTCCAAAATATGATAAAAACGTCATAGTATAGTATGTCCAAAATATGAAAAACACGTCATAGTATACTATGACGTCCAAAATGTCATAAAAAAGTCATAGTATAGTATGTCGTCCAAAATATGATAAAAAAGTCATTGCATAGTATGTCGTCCAAAATATGATAAAAACGTCATAGTATAGTATGTCGTCCAAAATGTCATAAAAAAGTCATAGTATAGTATGTCGTCCAAAATATGATAAAAACGTCATAGTATAGTATGTCGTCCAAAATGTCATAAAGTCATAGTATAGTATGTCATCCAAAATGTCATAAAGTCATAGTATAGTATGTCGTCCAAAATGTCACAAAAAAGTCATAGTATAGTATGTCGTCCAAAATATGATAAAAAAGTCATATTATAGTATGTCATCCAAAATATGATAAAAACGTCATAGTATAGTATGACCTCCAAAATGTCATAAAAAAGTCATAGTATAGTATGTCGTCCAAAATATCATAAAAACGTCATAGTATAGTATGACCTCCAAAATGTCATAAAAAAGTCATAGTATAGTATGTCGTCCAAAATATGATAAAAACGTCATAGTATAGTATGACGTCCAAAATGTCATGAAAAAGTCATAGTATAGTATGTCATCCAAAATATGATAAAAAAGTCATAGTATAGTATGTTGTCCAAAATATGATCAAAACGTCATAGTATAGTATAGTATGTTGTCCAAAATATGAAAAATACATGATAGTGTAGTATGACGTCCAAAATGTCATAAAAAAGTCATAGTGTAGTATGTCGTCCAAAATATGATAAAAAAATCATAGTATAGTATGTCGTCAAAAATATGATAAAAAAGTCATAGTATAGTATGTCGTCCAAAATGTCATAAAGTCATAGTATAGTATGTCGTCAAAAATATGATAAAAAAGTCATAGTATAGTATGTCGTCCAAAATGTCATAAAGTCATAGTATAGTATGTCGTCAAAAATATGATAAAAAAGTCATAGTATAGTATGTCGTCCAAAATGTCATAAAGTCATAGTATAGTATGTCGTCAAAAATATGATAAAAAAGTCATAGTATAGTATGTCGTCCAAAATATGATAAAAACGTCATAGTATAGTATGTTGTCCAAAATGTCATAAAAAAGTCATAGTATAGTATGTCGTCCAAAATATGATAAAAACGTTATAGTATGTCATCCAAAATGTCATGAAAACGTCATAGTACAGTATAACGTCCAAAATATGATAAAAACAACATAGTATAGTATGACGTCCAAAATATGATAAAAAGGTAATAGTAAAGTATGTCGTCCAAAATGTCATGAAAACGTCATAGTACAGTATAACATCCAAAGTAGGATAAAAACAACATAGTATAGTATGACGTCCAAAATATGATAAAAAGGTAATAGTAAAGTATGTCGTCCAAAATGTCATGAAAACGTCATAGTACAGTATAACATCCAAAATATGAAAAAACCTCATAGTATAGTATGATGTCCAAATTTTGCTAAAAACGTCATAGTATATAGTATGACATCCAAAATGTGATAAAAACGTCATAGTATAGTATGTCGTCCAAAATGTCATAAAAAAGTCATAGTATAGTATGACGTT